TTAATCAAGATTTTAACTAATCATTGTCAACCATTTATTAGATTTTGTCTATAACATGATACTTAAAGGGATAGTTCACCCAAAAATGAAAATTTGATGTTTATCTGCTTACCCCCAGGGCATCCAAGATGTAGGTGACTTTGTTTCTTCAGTAGAACACAAATGAATATTTAACTCAAACCGTTGCAGTCTGTCAGTCCTATAATAGAAGTGAATGGGAATCACGGCTTTGAGAGTCAAAAAAACATACACAAACAAAACCAAATTAAACCCTGCGGCTCGTGACGATACATTGATATGTAAAGACACGAAACGACTTATAAGTCTGCGATCCGCCGTAAAGCAAGAAGAAGACGACGTGTCACGTGCTCAGGACAGTTCAGACATTGCGGTGAATCGGAGGTAAAAAAACATATAAATACTGTTCAGTTTCTTGCATAGACCGATCGTTTTGTGTCTTTACACATCAATGTATCGTCACGAGCCGCAGGGTTTAATTTGGTTTTGTTTGTGTATGTTTTTTTGACTCTCAAAGCCGTGATTCCCATTCACTTCCATTATAGGACTGACAGACTGCAACGGTTTGAGTTAAAAATCTTCGTTTGTGTTCTACTGAAGAAACAAAGTCACCTACATCTTGGATGCCCTGGGGGTAAGCAGATAAACATCACATTTTCATTTTTGGGTGAACTATCCCTTTAATCAGCTTTTCGGTATCAGCCTGAATTTTAGTAGCGGTTTGTCCTTAATTATTATAATACAACTATAATATCCCTAACCCTTTAGGTGTTGTGACTCGCTGGTACAATACTGTTATCTACTAAAGTTCTGTTCTTGAAAAGGTTGTTGTTTCTTTCACTCAGGTCACCTACAGGGGTCAAATGCACTATTACAAAGTTATGGGAATGTTCTTTACTACCAAACAGAATTAAACTGAGGCACTTTTAGAATGATTATTTATCACCCTGAGATTGTCTGTCTCTGCCGGTGTGCGAAAATTTCCTGAATGGCCCCTTTCTCCACCTCTCCCTGGTTACTCTACACCTCCCTAGCCCTGATTTAAGGAGTGGAGATATTCTGTCCAGACGATACATGCCCGGACCCTCCCACAACGTTTGACTCATGTTGAGCAAAGCTGCTCCCTCCTTCACAGGAACAGTGGTCTTGATACAGAATCGTGTAACATGTTATTTTTGATATCACACCCAGAACATCACCCAAATCCTTTGTTAAGCCGATCAAATCACACTCAATTTGCACATTTAGAACTTCCCTTCTAGGCTTTGCAGCTTCCTTCTACTAGCGACTAGCACAGGAACATTCAATTATTCATGTTATGCAGTGTTAAACTCACTCTGTATGTCCGGATATGAGGGTCTGAGGTTAGTTTTATATTGAGTGGAATTTGACTCCTCAAATTCCACTCTCCACTTTATAAAAAACAAAGGGGAGGGGATAGAGGGTCTATTATGCTCCTTTGTGACTGCTCAGTGTTAAGTCTGTGCTGGTGTCGGAGTGTTTACTGACATCTGAGGAGAGCTTTGTTAATATTGCATGAGAGCTGAGAGTATGGAAAAGATAGCAGTGTGTAAAAAGATCTTAGAGAGGTAATTAAGTGCAAAACATTCTTGAGTTACACCAATGCTACTCAATGATCAAGGCAGAGTACTAAGACTGATTCACACCGAAAACGATACCAGTAAGGATCTTAGGATAACTATATTAGTGTCTACACCAACACATGATAATATTCTGTTTATCATAAGCACAGGCCGCAGTTTTGTCCTTTGCCACTTTAAATGCTTTCAATTCGGATGGAAGTGTTCCCGTGTCATTATCTTTATAGTTGTGTGGTGGACGTGCCAATTTTCATACAATTACGATTATTAAAACTTCAAAGAGTCCTGCAGGCATGACATTTATATTCGCCAAAACCCAGACGCAAGTTCGCATTTTAGCACTTCCGGTTTCATTGTCCTAAAATCAATGGGTTTTTTGTTAAATGCCTGAAATAAGGTCTGTGGTAACACAAGCTCAAGATATTTTTCACGTGTTATTATCTACGACATAAAATATTTACCCACTCACAATTTTATTAAAGCGTCTGGAAAAAAGGCGGTTGCTAACAAGTGGCTAAATGGGACTACAGATGTAGTCGTGACATTAATTGTCATCACAAACTGGTAAACTAATTTACTAACTAGTCCACTTTTATAGCCTTATAGTTTGTATAATCTCACTCTTGCAAACTCTTCTGAGGAAAACTATCAGTGAAAATGTTCTTAAAGACTGAAAGGTCATGTGATGTGGTTTGTTTATAGTCTAAGACTGTAGCCTATTTAGGCTTCAAAATTCACAAAAGTTATTATGATGACGAACAAAATGTATACAGGTCATAAACTTTTGGCTTTTTTTCAGAAATATGCTAAATTCTGGGTTGGCCATTGAAAGTACATCATCACTGCAGCACTCTAAATTTATCGTTATCACCTTTGGTGTGAACGGCCCTCTACAGCGAGCTTCGGGTTTATAACACAATTAACCTCAAAAAGTCCTGAAGAACAACTGGCTTGGCCCTGTACAGATTATGAAACCATTAGACCATCTTATCCATCTCAGCCAGCTGGTCATTCACCACAGATTTCATATAGCTACAGATCTCACTCCACGTTCATTAAAGATACATTGCACATTAGGGATTATAGATATGGAGAGAGGGTGAAAAGGAACACTCTGTGACGCATATGCTGAGACTATAACAATAAAATGCTACAGACATTAATTATACAGAAAGGTAGAGATGCTAATTGACCTAACAATACTGTAAAATACAAGCAAATAGACATCCTGAGCGAATGGTGCTTATGGGTAATCTCTTTAAACGCCCCCTCTGAAAGTGTATTCATGAAGAGGGGATCACGCAGCCCCTTGCTGTCCTAATGTAGGACAATATCAGGGATTTGTGCCTGTAGGGAGATTAACGGCTATGTGTGAGCCCAAATGCTGTAAATCTCATCCTAAAACCAACGCCAGTCAGTCGGTAAAGCAACCAGCTGGCCTCTGACTGCACTACTAATGCGCACAACACAGGAACTCCCACAAAGAGCAAATGCCACATCCTGTCTTTGTTAATATCTACTACAACTGACCCATCAAAATATATAAATAGACTGTCATATGGTCCTTCATCTGGCCGTATTTCTTTCAGATTCTGTAAGTGAGAAAAAAACGTGTTCGTGTCTCACAATCATCCTTTTACTGTGTGCCAGTAGGGCATGCTGATGCCATCCAAAATCCAAATGAAATTCAACTGGGCCAAAACAGCTCGCTAAATCCATGTCTTTAAATTTAGCGGAATTTAGTTGCTTCTTTAAGAGATAAACTACTTTCACAGAGGACATGACTTTTTGCTTCCTTGCTAACCAGACAAACAGGAAAGGGTGTACCATAAGGAACGTTGCTTCCTCTGAGGCAGATTAAGCACATTATTTCTTTGACACTTTGTAAACACTCAAAATTACTTAAGTAGAAACTTAATTACGAGACCAATCTGATTGTGTGTATCGTATCTCTTCAGAATGAAAGCACTAAAGATAAGTCAGCTATTCAGCTGTGCTCACTGTTGGGAAGTAAATAAAACATGGTACAGCCCCACCCAGACACATGCACTCACGCAAGACCCTGACAAACAATGTAAAAGACAGAGGCATTACTATTAGACATCTTAAAGTAACTAGTTTGGTTTACATATTTCTTTACATTTGACGACACCAGGCTCTATAACACACTTTAGTTTAAACTCACTATTCACTGAACAACCTGCAAGGTGTTACAGGTGTGGCAACAGACAAGCATTCGAAACATGCTGGGATTTTTCCAAAACCAGTGGTTATATATCAACAGTACACATCAAAATCAACATTTTATGCTTCTTATAATAAAACAAAATAATCAGATACAAAATCCCATAAGAGAAAGACTGATCTCTTAAAGGGATAGTTCTCCCATAATTGATATCCTTTGGACCGAACGTATACGTTGCACACATTAGTTTTAACAATATGCTAATAAATTGTTTTAGTAAATACAAGTTAGACAGAAATCTTCTTTGCATGAAGAAAACAGCAACAGCTGCTCTATCGCGGTCTGTATTGGCCATCCATTGGTAAAATGTATGTACTGTGATTTTTTTTTTACCAAGTTATCATATATTTACACATTAAAAAAATAAAAAAGTTTGTATTTTGTTTCAAATGTAGGATCGTTGACGCTAGAGGCGCTAAAAGGCCATTTGTGTTAGACGAAGCCACTGAGAACACAACATTATTTGGAAAATTATTTTTAAAATTAAATTCTTGAAACCTTGAAATTCACACACTGCTGCCAGCCTCCGTCGCCAAGTACTTATTTCATATTTTGTCCATACAATAGTAGCCTACTGAGATTGTCATCTCCCTTTGTATTCCACATTAGTACACAGTCCTACAGGTTTGAAGCATGAGGGTGAGTAAATAATGACAGAACTTTTAACCACTGTATGAACTATTCCTTTAAGTCTATTGCATGTACTTACATTTTTAATGTATTATTTACTTATAGACCTGTTACGTATGTTTGTTGACATTTGCGAATGTGCGGGGGTTATTGCTTGGGTTTCTTTGTTGGGTATAAACACACCCGCCTAACTTACACACAGCTGAGTGTTTAGCTGTACGATCATGTAGCGAAATAAATGCATTTAAAGTTTGGATCAGCTGAAACCCGACACACGGAAGTGAAAACGAGTATCGCACAGGTAGGTAAACCAACACCGACAACCCAGAGCACCACAATACGCCACTTTCCCAAGAGATCTATCCGCGAATTTTAATGGCTGCTTTTTATAGGGTCGATGTTGGATAAAAAAAAAAAAAACGAATAACGTTTAACTAACAACGAAGGCACCAAAACACAATTCAGCCTTATTTAATATACAAATATAAAATCAGATTTGAGTTTACCTTTAAACGCTCGTCTCCAAACACTGCTGCTGACAGCGATCCAAGAGTCTTTTTTAGTTTTCCCCAGCGCACAGAGTTCCAGAGAGAGCGACACTTTCTCTCGCATTCAGATGAGGGTGAACAATGTGCTTTGGGGAGAGAGGGCAAAGTCTCCTCCAGAGCTCCGCCCCCGATACTATACGAGTCCCGCACCACACCCAGCCCCACACCTCCGCACTCTCACTGACACTTACCGATAAACACACACACAAATACTTACAGTGGAAATCTGATCGTTTTAGTTGCTCATCATGGCATATCATTTAAATGAGTTTTAAAACATGCATGCACAACATATATAAATATATATATATATATATATATATGCATACATAATATAGTGTCAAAACATGAAGACACAGTAAAAGTGTTTGCTGGGAAAGGGTGTCAGTGATGTCATTAAAACATATTAATTTCAATATACAATAAAAGTTAAATAAAATATGAAGTTTTTTTTCCCCAACAGTGAGCACTGAGGCTTACTTCCTGTGTATGCCATGCTGGCCTGTGTCTGTCATTTCTTGTCTGTGATCACTGATAAGGATTCGGCTATGCTTTTTTGTTTCTGATGATTCATAGAGATATCCTTCCAAATCATATTCTGCTGTAAACTTATGCTTCTCAAAAGCAGTGAGATCTTCTACCTGTAGGGCATATTCCCATGTCAGCGGCCACACCTTTGGCAGGTATTACGACATACAAGGCGTTGCGTCATGACTCATGTAATTCTCAGACGATGCAATATGATGATCTCTCTGTCTAATCACCTCTAAAACTACACACTCATCCAGAGCTTTTATTCTAAAATTACACTTAGGGTTTAACAAATTTCACATGCTAGACACACTTCCCAAAAGTGAAATCGACATTTTTAATATTATAATTATTTTTATTTTTTTGATCTAAAGTTTATACCTGTAAGAGTTATTATGAATCCATAATATTGCATATTAGCACTTATATGTCCCCAAACATCTTAAAGATCTTCTAAAAGTCTAAACAATCCTGACTTACCGGTTTAGATCTTATATATTTGTATTTTTGAATAGACAATGACCACTCACTCGGTTCTCCCTAGTTCAACAAATCTGTCCCGTTTGATGCATTTGGCAACGGTTTAATTGCTGTGGAGTGAGTGATTCGGATTACTGTTTACCAATGTGCAAAACATAGTTCAGAGGAAAAGGAGGGAGAGTGAAAAGCGAGAAAGGGGTGGAGGAGGGCCACTCCTTTGTGCTGAAAGCATGACAGCAGTAACAAAAATGGAAGTCAAAATCAGGAAGTTTAGCAAAGGAGAAGATTAAAAGTTCATGTTGGATTAATGTAAATCACTTTAGATTAGAAAACCGCTTCTGCTTTTTGACTGCAGGTTCATTCCAGCAATCATGGGATCTATTCATGTTGATTTTGAAGAGGATATATAAAAACAGTTAGATCTTTGTTGTGCATTAAGAATGTGTATTTTGGATAGCTCAAATAAAGTACATATAAAAAAACAACCTAAAATACAACAAATACAAAATCTCAGGTTTGTGGTCAATATTTCAGCCTTACAGTCTGAATGGGGGTCAGAGGTCAGCATTCCCAAGCTGCCTTTCATGCTTAGCTCAGGAAGCCAAAATAGCTGCAACATGTGCAGCAGACACAGACATGTGTTTCTGCATCTACTGAATTCAGCCCAGCACACTTTAGAGAGGATCTCTGTGAGAAAGACAATGCATGATAAATAGCCTCATTGTTTTATAAGAGACAGATGTCATATGGACATGCTGCTTTGAGGAACATGCTAGTGTAATTGATGTGAATGAAAACAAGCAGTGTTGTAATAAATGCAATCTTTGCAGATCGATTAAGCAGTAAAGGATTGTTTTGCAGGAGACTCATAAAGCTGCGTGGAGCCAAATGCAGCGCTCAAGGGATTTAGATGGATGGCCAAAAGTGCACTTTTTGAATGCAAACAATACTGTGATGTTAGAAAGAGTATAATTTTGTCTTCAAACACCACATTAATGCAGTGTAATAGAGACTAACTTTTCTTACTTAAATGTTTAAACATCTCTGCTGACATGAGCAGAAATACTTAAATATGTTGAGCATCTCAAATGGGAAAAGTGGTGGCCCTCCAGGACTGGCAAACAACGTGTGATGTAAAGGTGTTATTTCTACCAGATTAATTTTGTGCAAAACTTCTAAAGAAATCAGTGTGATTTAGTCATATTAAACAAATGTTTGTGACTTGAATGAACTGGTTAATGTAGATGCTACCACATATTTCAGAGGTTTATGAGTATGTATGTTTTCATGTACCGTATGTTTTATTAATAAAAAAATTAACATTTAATTGTGACTATAATAAAAGATACAAGATTTATACGTGACTTTTCAATATACGTAAAAAAAATTTGTTTTTGAAAAGTCTATAATGTTCACTGCTCTGATTTGATTAAATAATATTAAATACAGTAAAATTGTGAACTATAATCACAATTTTAAATAATATATTAAAATTCTGTTGTAGCCTGTTGTAGCCTGTTTTCTGGTTCAGCTCAGCTACCAAATCTGACCTCAGAAGACTACAGAGGGTAGTCCGGACTGCTGAGCGAATCATTGGTACAACCCTCCCTTCTCTCCAAGAACTGTACTTATCCAGAGTGACCTGCCTAGTCTCCACTGTCACATGATCCTTTAGAAATCATTCTAATACGATGATTTGCTGCTAAAGAAACATTTCTTCTTTTTTTATATATTTTTTGGGAAGATACATTTTCCCCCAAGATTTGATGATAAATAGAAAATTCAAAAGAACAGTATTAATTTAAAGATTTTTTTATAAGTTTAAAAGACTTTACTGTCACTTTTGAACAATTAAATGCATCCTTGCTGAATAAAAGTATAAATTACTTAAATAATAGTAAATAAATAAATAAATCATACTGACCCTAAACTTTTGAGTGTGGGCCATAACAATAAATAAATAAATTAATTAATAATTACTAAATAAAAATATAACATATACAACAACAATCAAAACAGAGTTTTAGGATTCTTATTGCAGCATTGCAATAACCTGATTCACAATACAATTTTGATTGATAAAATGAATAATACTCCAAGAGTACAAACAGTAAAGCATAGGTCATAAAGATCCTAAAGGATTTGATTCCCAGGAAATAGCAATAACTGATAAATTGCATGTTCAGCACCTTCAGTCACTTTAGATAAAACTTCTGCCAAATGCATAAATATATAGATTCACACAACAGTGTAGTGTAGGATGAATACTTGTAGGCTATATTTGACCTCTTTAAGGTCAAAATGCTTAGATTTAACTGCATTTTTTCATGTAGGCTACACTTAAAAAAAAAACAGAAACTGGCGTAAAGTTTTCAATCCACTTAAATGCATCTGCTGACAGCACATCTGAGGCACTGTAATTAGATGAACAGCTGAACATTCCTCAGTGACGGAGCGACCTCTGATGGAGCTCGAGCTGCTGAATCACAGCGTCTTCACGGAGGATCTGATTCTGACCAGAGGACCCTGACAGCCCGAGGCGCTGCCCACACACTTCACCCCGGGACAAAAACGTGAGCTACACACGGACAAACAAAATAAAGTAAGTTTCACGCATTTATAAATCAACTGTCAACAAAATGAACTGCTTGGCTGCTGATTCGTGAAGTGAACAAGTTGGACAGAGGGGCGACTGTTCTGTTCCCGTTGTTTGTCAGGGTGGGACTTTTCATCTCTACTCGTGCATTTGATTACAAACATCTACAGTTCACTTGCTTGTGTTGTTTATAACGGGTTAGAAATGTTCAGCGTGCATTTGATGTTTAACGCAGACTAAATGATGCGAGTTTTTGTTACTCTTACTTAAACCCCCCCCTACTTTTGAATCTCTGAACATTCTGAAGCAAGTAATAATGAACATCCATCTAAAATATTTCAGGAAAAAAAAGCATTCCATGAACAATGTATAGGCCTAAGTAATGTTTTTGCTGAAATTCTGTTAAAGGGAAAATTATTAAAGGGATTAACCCAAAAATGAAAATTCTGTCATATAATTGGTCCAAACCTGACTTTCTTTCTTCTGCTAAACACACAAGAATATATTTTGAAGAATGTTGGTAAGCAAAAAGTTGACAGCAGCCATTGACTCATAAAGATTAGGAACAACTTGAGGGTGAGTACATGATGACAGAATGTCTTTTTTTGGTTAACTATCCCTTTAAAGACCAGATTACTTTGAAAGACCGTTCAGGTAATGTGGAAGAACGTCTCGGTTAGACAGCCCGAGGCGCTGCTCACACACTTCACCCCGGGACAAAAACGTGAGCTACACACGGACAAACAAAATAAAGTAAGTTTCACGCATTTATAAATCAACTGTCTGCTGCACTTCCTCACTACCAAATAAGGTTTAGGAAACTCATGGAAAGCTTTGACACTGAAAAGTGTCTTCTGTTTCCGCCGTGCGCATTTTAATCGAATGTACACATAGGGCATTTGTGTCTGGTGCCATCCGAAACGGCAGCTTGCAGTTGGATACAGCCTGCTGCTGAGCCCTTACAAAAATAATACACACCCGGACATGCCTGAGGTAGAAATGTTGCTTACGGTGAAGTCATAATGAAGTTTGGACTAAGATAATAAACTATTGCACTCATAGTAGTTATGTATTGTTTAGAGAGAATATGCCATGACAACCCAGCTGACAAAAAAATACATTCTTAGAAAGTTTAGCTAACGTTCCCATTGAGTTATGATTCATAACTTATGAACGTTAACGGTAAAATGATTTAAAAGGGAACCTTCCATTTGATAATTTTTCAAACATTATTGGAATGCTACTTTTGAATCTCTGAACATTCTGAAGCAAGTAATAATGAACATCCATCTAAAATATTTCAGGAAAAAAAAGCATTCCATGAACAATGTATAGGCCTAAGTAGCCTAATGTTTTTGCTGAAATTCTGTTAAAGGGAAAATTATTAAAGGGATTAACCCAAAAATGAAAATTCTGTCATATAATTGGTCCAAACCTGACTTTCTTTCTTCTGCTAAACACACAAGAATATATTTTGAAGAATGTTGGTAAGCAAAAAGTTGACAGCAGCCATTGACTCATAAAGATTAGGAACAACTTGAGGGTGAGTACATGATGACAGAATGTCTTTTTTTGGTTAACTATCCCTTTAAAGACCAGATTACTTTGAAAGACCGTTCAGGTAATGTGGAAGAACGTCTCGGTTACGTATGGTAACCCTCGTTCCCTGAAGGAGGGAACGGAGACGTCACGTCGGATGACCGACGAATTGGGATCTCGCTTAGAGAGACCAATCTACTTTGAGTGTAAACTAAACGAGCCAATGCACATTGGCATGCGATTATTGCATCCAGCTGCTGCTGATCACAGCGTGAGTATAAGTAGGCAGCAGATGCAGCGCATATTCAGGTTTTCGCCGAGGAGCCAAGCCGGTGACCCGGCCGCTCAGCGGTGGTACAGGAGCTGTGGAGACGGGACGTGACGTCTCCGTTCCCTCCTTCAGGGAACGAGGGTTACCATACGTAACCGAGACGTTCCCTTTCAGTTGGATGCAATAATCGCATGCCAATGTGCATTGGCTCGTTTAGTTTACACTCGAAGTAGATTGGTCTCTCTAAGCGAGATCCCAATTCGTCGGTCATCCGATGTGACGTCGGGAGTGACCGACTGAAAGGGAACATTATTTCATAACTTTGAGAGAACTTTGCCAGAACGTTCTAACCAAAGTTCTGAGAAAGTTCCCTGTCAGCTGAGAACATTCCCTATTAGCTGCGAAGTCATTAAAGTGCAATTTATTTGCTCAGTGAAGCTATTTTATCAACTAGAATAAAATAATAAGTGGGAAATTATGAACATGAATGTGGGTGAAATATTTTCACCTCCCGTTAATTTGTAAGCTAATGGTTTTTAAATCCTTTTATGCAGTGTACTTTGCTTAAAATGGGCTTTACCCTGAGTTTAAGACTCCATTAAAAATGGAAAACAGCGACAGACAGGTGTAGACACACCCGAAGAGATTCATTGACTGGGTTTGCATGCACAATAATAAACTGATATTAATTAAAATGTTGACATATTCTAATTATTTGTGAGTCATGTAAAACGCCTTATTGCCATAAGCCAATATTCCAGTTATCTCCAAATTCGACACTATATGAACATTGCAAACACCTCAGCTGTTCTTTCTCTAAGTTTCTGCGTACAAATGTACAAATGAATGTATTATAAATCATGCACCATAGAAGTCTCATGACCTACACTTTGTAATTCTGAATGAAAATTAAGTTGATTAAATTACTGTGCATGATTAGTTTTCCCCCCCTCCAAATTGTTATGGTTGCATACAGTAGCCTACTTGTTGGAAATGAAGGGTTAATCAGAAAATGGACTTTAATTAAAACATTGACATTGTTCTCTGAATGGCCCCTGAATGGATTCATTTAAGTACAGCATGAGATTTAGCGCTCCAAGCCTGTCCACACCTGTTCTCTGATTTGCTGTGTGTGGTCAGTCCTGTTCTCCTCAATAAAGCCTTTGGCAGCAAATGCAAAACAAAGAATTCTGAGGTTTGTGCATTTGCTCCTATTGTTGTGAAAGAGAAGGAACAGGGACATAGACAATGTTTCCAGGATGTTGTTAAAATAAGTATAGTGACTCAGAGGGTAGAGTCTGATCCTGCACTCTAAAAAATGCTGGGTTAAATACAACCCAGTGCTGGGTAAAATAGGGACAAACCCAACAATTGGGCTGTTTTGACCCAGCGGTTGGGTTAAATGTTTAACCCAACCTTCTGGGTAGTAACCCAACTGCAGGGTCAAAACAAACCAATTGCTGGGTTTGTCCCTATTTTACCCAGCACTGGGTTGTATTTAACCCAGCATTTTTTAGAGTGTGGGCTCATGAGGAAAACATTATGAGGAGAAATATGAACTGTGTTCCTGTTTTGAACAGACAATTTTAAAATAAAATATTAAAAAAAAATATCGACATATGTGAGCTGGCATGATATCATACAATAACTATTATAACTAGTTATAATAAACCAGTATAGCTTTGGTTCTAAATCGAACATTTATGAATGCAATTTGTAATAGGTTTCTTGAACTTTATTATGCTAGGGTTTTAACTATGGAACTTCTGGCCATATAGATGTTTAAAAAAAAAATTCAAAACTTAAAAATATTTGTCAATGTCCATCATGCATCACAGAAAAGTTCAGTCTTTTTTTTCCTGAAAATCACAAAAGAAAATGTCATTTTCTTTTTGAATCAACACTTTGTCTTGGAAGTGACATGTTAAACATTTTTATTTAAAATCTAATTTCAAAGGTAGTATTTTATGTAACTACACACATTAAAATATTCTGATATTTACCTGAATTCTAATAATCAGTCACGCCACTGTCCTTACTGTTATTATCCTTTGTAAACAATACAATATCTTTTTGAAAGAAAAAAATGTTTATGATGAATTTTCATAATTTAAAACTGTGAAAATCTGTGTCTGGGACTAGAATAAAATAAAATATATGCATAAGAAGTATGAAAAGTAGAAAAAATAAGTTTTAATAGGGCTGTCATATAATAAAAAGAAAAAAGGTATGTTAGTTTAACAAATAATCAACCTTTTGGACATAAAAAACCACTATGGCCGTATCATGATGTGTCACGCCTGGAAGTCATTGACATTTAAATAAATGACTTGGTCATCACTGAGTACTATTATCAAATTAATGAAGCATTGCAATTTAATAATGGGTTTAATAAGCATCAAAACCATCACAAGCGTCCACAAACCATTCATGAGTGTAAAATGAATGATTAGGTTAAATTAATCAGTAAATCTGATTGATTCCATAAAGTAATCAGAGGCATTTGATTAAATTGACCTGGCAGCGGTGAAACTGCTTTTAGCTGTATTAGCTGCAAAGTGCCGGCTCACAGATCGCCTTCTCTTTATTCTCTCTCTCTCCTGCCCCCACCCACTCCTCTTACTCCACCCTCCCTATCTCTCCGTTCAGAAAGTCATCTCGGTGCACAAGATAGTCGATAGAGTGAGCAGAACAAGACAGGGCAACCTTGAGCAGGTGTAAAGGACAGTTTGAAGAAGGACACAGGCTCCTGTGTGTGACCTATCGTCTGTGGCCCCGGGAGAGCGGCTCTGCTTTGGCCCAATGCAGAGATCATCTATCAGTTGCTGTAAGTAGCTCTAGACTTCTTTTATGTGTCTGACTCTCAGTTGTAGCTCTCAGCTGTTCTTATGTCCTATTACGGGACCCTCGGTTGAGCTTCAACCTGTTACTGTAGATGTATGGGATATGACACAAATGGACATGACAAATCTGTTTGGTGTCCAAGCATTGTTTGAGACACTGTAGAAGCCCTCAAGAGAAAGGAGGCAGGAAGTAAGTGTGCTGTTTAACTGATATCAGTCCACAGTGAAATGTGATATATCGTCGTTTGTTTACAGGCCATTTAGACATTTCGTTTTTGTGTTTCAATTACACAAGATCATGATTGGTTTATTAATAACACTATAAAACAGACATTACAATTCACAGTGTAAGACAATACAATACAATACAAAACATTACAACTATGTAAGTGACTATTTAAGGACTACAAAAACCATATATCATAATCATAATGTATAGCAGTAGTAGAGCAAATCAGAGATTTGCACGTTGTTATATTAAGACATATGTCAAAGTATTGTGTAATGAAGAAGGCTAAATAGTCAGAGGACTGTGCTCTTTAAAAAAGGGGCTAAGAAGTTTAGACTTTTTCTTAATGGCTTAAGTTCACCAAAAAAATGAAAATTCTACCTTAACCACCAAACTAGTTGTTCCAACCTCTCGCTTCTGCAAAACTCAAAAGAAGATTTTTCGAAAAATATTGGTAACCAAACATTGGTGTTCAGTGATTTCATTGTTCCACAGAAAAAAAGAATGATTTTTGGAATTATATGAGAGTGAAAAATGTATTTTTTACGTTTTTATGTAGCTATTTTTAACATTTTTGACAAACCATTCCTATAAGTCTTATATAGTTGTATAAATAAGTCATGTCAAGTCATATTTCATAATCTCTGTCAGCTCACCCATGAGCTCTAACTAAAATGCACTGACTGGACATTTGGACAAATTTGGAGTCAAAGGGCATGAAAGTAGTCATCTAATGCTGTGTGGTAAAATGTACATTTGTTGCTATCAGCATAGTCCGCATTATGCAGTGTGCTTGAGCTTGTTTTCTCCATGTAGAATTTTGCACTTTATAGAAACTTTATGTCATATAGAAAAACTTGAATGAGTGATGGTCATTGAAGTTTAATGTGACAAGTGGTGTCTTGTGATTCTAGAAAATATATACTGTTGAAAAGTTTACGCTTTGAAATTTTTATTCAGCAAGGAAGCATTAAATTGATCAAAAGTGACAGTAAAGACTTTTGCATTGTTACAAAAAATATATTTAAGTGGAATGCCATTGTGTTGATGAATTTTCACATTATTACTGTTTTTATTACTGTTATTTTTGATCAAATAAATGCATTCTTGGTGAGCATTTTTTCTTAATGGCTTAAGTTCACCAATAAAATGAAAATTCTACCTTAACCACCAAACTAGTTGTTCCAACCTCTCGCTTCTGCAAAACTCAAAAAAAGATATTTCGATATAACTTTCTCTTAGTCAAAGAATCATGTAATCCTGTATCATGGTTTCCACAAAAATATTAAGCAGCATAACTGTTTATAACATTGATAATAATTATAAATGTTTCTTGAGCAGCAAATCAGCATTTTGCATTGTTACAAAAGATTTCTAGTTCAAGTAAATGCTGCTCTTTAAACTTTCTCTTAGTCAAAGAATCATGTAATCCTGTATCATGGTTTCCACAAAAATATTAAGCAGCATAACTGTTTATAACATTGATAATAATTATAAATGTTTCTTGAGCAGCAAATCAGCATATTAGAATGATTTCTGAAGGATAATGTGACACTGAGACTGGAGTAATGGCTGACAAATTCAGCTTTGTCATCACAGGAATAAATTATATTTAAAAAAATATTGCAATAGAAAATAGTTAAGTTGCTACAGTAACTTTATCCACTATAGCTCTGTTTATCCAAATTCACTAAAAGCAGAATTTATCTGGAATATTGTATTTTTTTCTTGCTTGTAGGCAACAGTGAAAGCAAAGATCAGCTGACCACCTTTATAAATACTGATTTCGTTTGATACATGAGCATAACTTTGACCTCTTAAACATAAATCCCTGCCCAGCTTACAGCACATATCATGTTTTCGCTTTCTTGCTGTATAATTTCAGGTCTCATATCATTATCATCCTCTTTATGAAAAAAAAAGTTTAGAGGTAGAACTTTGATGAGCCATAGCTTGTAACTTTTTATTTGCAGAGTTCAGAGTTTCTTGAAGATGGCTAAGGACTCAGCTGCTTGAATTGAGTTGGGCAAGTCATTCCACCAGGAGGGAACATTTAATTTAAAAGTCTGTGAAAGTGATTTTGTGCCTCTTTGGCAAATAATAATTTTAATGTTACAAGAACTTTTGAAATAAGCTTCAACAGAGTTTCTGCGGGTCTTAAAATGCCTTAAAAAGTCTTAAGTTGGCTTAAAAAGGCCTTCAATTGGAACAGAATGTCTTAAATTCATAAAGTCATGGCATTGAATGTTGCATGCACTGCAACAAATGAATGTCTTCTTCAGTATTTTGTTTTCCAATACAAATATCTAAACTTCCTTAAATAAAGATACATTTGCTTCAGATGTAAAATGAAGTCACAAAATGATGTTCATGCTTAAAACAAGAACAAATATCTGTCAGTGGGGTATGAAAATTCATTTTTGGAGCCCATTAGCAGATATTTGTCCTTGGTTTAATCATAAAGTAACTTCATTTTAATCAATTTAATCAATCAAAAATACATTTTATCTTCTCAAGTAAATATATAGTTCAGTCATGAAACTCTAGATGTTCAGGCGACGGGTTGTTAACGTAACCGATGATATTCAGAGAGTTAAACGACTTGGCACAGCTGATTGGTTCATGCTGCATATGCAGCCAATGAGCTTACTGCCTTGCATTTATATGGCTGGCTAGCATTCACTAGAGATTCCTGCAGCGCGCTTTCAGAGTTCTCTGAAACCCTACACCTTTCCCAGCTCCACCTGTATTGATCTGCTACGGGTTATTTTATATGCTATTTGTGCAGCAGCAGCATGTCTTAAATACTCATGGCACCGTATCGCCATATGCATTGGCAGTAGCAAGTTCCTGTACTTGCTTGCAGCAGCAGCAGCAATAATGATATTTGACCTTTTTTGATTTTGGCATTAGAAGATACACATGCTTGCTTAGTAGTATATTGCCAAAAGCATTAGTTCTCCCATATGCCAGTTACAAAATCTATCAATAGCCTGCATAATACACATGCAATTTTCAGATAGGTCTATTTTTACCTGCCTTAGCTGTCAACTTTTGCCATCTGGATAGTTTTAAAGAGATTTCTTTGGGCAAATGATTCAAAAGTAGGGTAGAACATCATTGTCAGGGCACTTAGGCTATAACAAAAGGTACCCAGAGTGGATATCAATTTATTATTATTTTTGTTATTCAAATATTTTATTTCAATTGATTTTGAGTAAATATTGTGGGGTTGTCTTATTTGCGATAATTAAATTGCATTATCGAAATATTGGCATGATATTAGTTGCCTGCCACCTTGAGATATTGGCATCAACATTGGCCATTGGAAAACTATTCTAATCTATTTACTGAAGGTGAGAGAGTAAAGGACACCTGCATTAACCTTGACATGCTTTATCAGGAAAAACTGTGCATATGATGATTTTCCCATAGTGTGTTCCCAGAGTGGCTGATTTTCATTGAACAGTTTGCAGGAAAGTGGTTTGATTTTGATGGAAAGAAATGGTTTGTGACTTGTAGTTAAAGTGTGGTCTGTAAATGAACTTTTCCACGATATTCTAATTTATTGAGATGCACCTGTAGATGTCTGTGTGTACGTGTTCGCATGAGCCCATGCCTATAAAAGCCCACTGACGGATGCATCATGTGACCAAGTCCTCAGGTCTCCTAGGAGATGACCGGTTCAGAGTGCATGTTGCATTCATCCAAACACATGCTTTCTGAACATTGAACTTGCCCCTCCTCCCGACTTAAGCCGTAATACAAGTGTGTCTGTTCTGATAGGCTGAAAAAAGACATTCTTTGTTCCGCCTGTCTCTCTCTCTCCCACTTTCTCTTGTTTTATCACTCTCTTTCTCTCTCTCTATTTGCCTCTCTCTTTCCCTGAGATGAGGAGAGCCATAGAGGCTTTGTGAAAGGACACACGTAGACACCTCCAGCAGGAGTTTGGTTGGCAGTGAGTCCGGTATTGTGTACAGTCACCTTGAGCTAGTCCAAAGTCTCTGGCTGAAAGTAAGAGTGACTTAAAGGGATCATATGATGCGATTTCACGTGCGTGCATGCGTGCGCGCGCGTGTGTGTATGTGTGTGTGTGTGTGAGAGAGAGAGAGAGAGAGAGATCACAGTGTTTTAAAAAAGCATCATATGACCCCTTTAAGACCTGGGTCAACATTTTAAAACCAATAACAAATACGGTGCTCAAATTTATTTTGGAATGCAAAGTTTGTATAGAGTGACGTATTTTCATCAGCCAACCCGGAAGTTAGCATCACCCTGGTTCCCCAATAGGATTTTTCCATTGGATTTGCAGAAAATGGGCTCTGTGACCAACAAAGGTTTACGTTTCTTACAAGCTTAGAGGTAAAAAAAAAAAAAAAAAGATAAATATAAAGCTATTATATAACAATTATTGTTGAATTATTGTTTCGTATCTCTGATAAATCTTATCAGCTGTAAGCATGTTCAAATGAGGCTTATCTTTTTCCAGTGACTGTGAAAATTTGTGTTAGTCCAGTTCTGATTCATGATTTCTTTTTAGAGCAGTTTTTGTCAAGTGTTTGTGTTATTTAACAATTTCTTTGCAGAAAAATGGCCGCTAAAAATGCTTGGTAATTTGACAACTTGTTGCACATTAAATTATTATAAATTAGAATAATTTTATTTATTTATTATATTTTATTTCATAATTTAATTTCTAGAAGTACAGTTTTCCTATATTATTTTATTTTATTTCTAGAAGTACATTTTGCTAAAAATCTGTTCACTGTTTACAAAAATCTCTAGTTAATTTCTATTGGATGTTCTGTAAAGCTATGACAAAACAACAGTGACCAAAAGAGCATGAGCTTACCAAAGGATTGTTATGGTATAATCATATTTTAGCATAAAATTACCTAACACATCTTGTATCCAAATATCCTATTAAACATGATATATTCTCACCACGGGGTCTTTGCTTCCGAACAGGTCATGGCTCAAAAGTCATGCATGATTTTACATGCCACCAGCTGAATTATTGAAACGTGCATCATGACATTTAATACTGGATCTGATAGACATTTTCACTGGAAGACATTAAGCTGAAAGCAACACTGCTGTAGTTACGTGAGGGCCTATCTAGTTTCACATCAGTAGCACAATACAATCAATGGCCTGCTTTCAGTAAACAGTCTGTATCCTGAGCATCATTGTGTTCATACGTCTTTTAACCAGATACTGATAGGGGAGTACACAAAAAGCTATTTTCTTACATTCAGTTTGTTAATATCAGTGTGCATCACTCTCTTTCTTTCTGTCCCGACTAGGTCACATGAGGACGTGTGTCTGTCTGTTCTGCACCAATTCTCTGATCCAGCATCAGTCTGCTGAAGGCCTCAAGCATTCATCACCCTGAAACCCAGCAGGCCTTTCACACTGTCCCACTCCTCTGATTCTGCCTCTTCTCCTCCTGCGTGCCTCTCTCAGCCCTTCCTGGAGACCCCAGGGCCCCTCAACCGCAATGGAGAGCAGGGAGAGGGATGCGGGACCCTGGCCCAGGAGATCTGCCTCACTCCTGGGAACCTGAGGGAGGATCCTCCGCCGGCACAGGGCTTCCATGATGTCTCTACTCTCACAGGTACAGAAAATGGTTTTGTTGGTGTGCGATTGTTGAGCTCGTCAATATACTAATGTACTTTTAGCAGATACACTCCTGTTCAAAAGTTTGAGATCAGTCATTTTAATTAGCGAGGATGCAGCAGATTGTTTAAAGGGGTCATATGATGCGATTTCAAGTTTTCCTTTCTCTTTGGAGTGTTACAAGCTGATTGTGCATAGATAAGATCCCTGAAGTTGCAAAGACTAAAGTCTCAAAACCAAAGAGATATTCTTTATCAAAATGTGTTTTTTGAACATTAAAGCATGTCAACATATTCTGTTACACCAAATACACAAAATAATGATCTTTAAAAAAGCATCATATGACCCCTTTAAAAGTGACAGCAAAGACATTTAAAATGTTACAAAAGATTTCTGTTTCAAATAAATGCTGCTCTTTTGAACTGAAAGATTAAGCAGAAAATTAAGCAGCACAACTGTTTTTACCATTGATGATTCTTGAGCAGCAAATCAGCATATAAGAATGATTTCTGAAGGATCATGTGACAACTGAAGACTGGAGTCCCTATTGAAAAATAAATATACTAAAATGTATTTGAAATACATTTATTTCATGATAAGTGTACTACAAATACATTTGCATATTTATGTACTTAATAAAAATACCCTGCAGTTGTACTTTTATTATACTAAACTGCTATACTTAAAGTCTGTTAAACTGGAGCAACTATTTTTTTGTTTAATGCACTTTAATTGTGCGGAAGTAGTGCTGAAGTCCAAATAAATATAAACTTAAGTATATCTGATTGTGCTAAAGTGGAACTGTTGCAAGTATACTTCAGGTACACTTTAAATATCTTGCTTTTGAAGACTGATATTATTCAAAGATCAAACAATCTTCATCAATTGTGATATTAAAACACATTTTAGGCTTAATATTAAGAAATGTGCGTTGTGCACAAGTAGTACTCCAAGTAAAGTTTAAATATAATTATTTTATCAGTTATTCTTGAGAAATATGTCAGTAAATATGAACTATACTTAGTATGAAATAAATGTATTTTAAATATATTACTTTATTACTAGGGAACCTCAAACACTTAAAGGTATGGTTCACCCAAAAATGAAAATTACCCCATGCACTTTTTATGATGGATGAATGCACTTTATTGGAATATGAACACCCATTCACTGCCATTATAAAGCTTGGAAGAGGCACGACATTTTTTAATATAACTCTTTCTAATATATATTTTTATTTTTGGGCGAACTATCCCTTAAAGCAGCAGTATATATTAACTGGGACCAAAAAATACTGCTAACTCCTCTTGCATTAAAATTAAATGCTCTCTACAGTCTATACTAACTGAAACAGTACTTTATGCTCGTTCTCAAACATCAGTTGGTAGGTGTTTTGTATTTTAAACTGCCCAAATTTGCTAAGTGAGGTTAGTACTACATTGTTCACATAGCCTTCTGCATTTGTTCTTTACCACCTGTAGTGCACTGATATGACTTTGTTGTGTTACCTTCATAACAGAACAGAAAGCAGACAAAGGCAGGAAAGGTGGAACAAACCATTATCGAAGGAAGTACCTATATCTGTGCACTGCTTTCTAATTATACTCCATCCTAAAAGCTCAGAGTGTGTGCTGTAGGTTTATTAATAGCATTCAACTAGTGGTCGACCGATATTGTTTTTTTTTTGACAGCCGATGCCGATATCTTGGAAAGCAGGGTGGCCGATGATGTAAATGCATATTTGCTGAATGCTGACGGCAAACGAGAAAGTATTATAATGTTTGCCTTTCTATTACTAATAATATAAAAGCAATCGTTATAATACTTTTTGTATACATTTTAATTCCTTTGTTTAACAGTTCTATCGGATTATTAGACAGACTTCTATCCGTATTAGACAGAACGGTTAACGCATCGGCCAAACAGAAAAACTTATCGCCAAGGCCGATATATCGGCCGATATTTGGCATTTTTCAAATATCGGCCAATATATTGGTCGACCACTACATTCAACTCTCAAATATGATTTTAAATCATCTTTTGCAACTACCAGTAATTTAAACCTAACCGTTTGAATTAATAACTGACTGACTAATAACATTAATCTGGCTTTTTAACTCGAAAGACACCTTGTATATCATATTGGAGCTGCTGTTGAATTAATGTTCACACTGTGAGATTTTAAATTCTCAGTCAGGCCACAGAGACATTATATGTGTATTTTTTTATTACATCAATGAATGTGAGCTTCTAAATGATGCAACTTGATAATTAGATACATTCAGATTATGTGAATGTTGAATGGGCAGTGAATGGTTCTCTTTCTGTTTATCACACACAGACCTGTGCTCCAGTGTGGACCTGCCAGAGGTGGAGATTGTCAGCTTGCTCACAGAAGAATTGCCCAAATACACTCTGTGGGTGGACCATGTGTTTGGGTACGAGCACGACGACTGGCTGCACACACCTCTGCTGCCACCAGAGGCCGCTCTTGGACTTACACAGGAGCAGATCGACGAGACACTCAAGTACTTCTGTGAGTCCACACCGTTCTATTTTACTATATACTGCTTTGCCATTTCTGTCAAATCCAACCATTTTAAAACTGTGCAAAAGCTTGGTAGTGATATATATATATAATTGTGTGGAAATAGTGCTAAAGTCCAACACTAAAGGGGAACTATTGCAAGTATACTTCAGGTACACTTTAAATATCTACCTCTTGCTGATATTTAGAGACTGATATTATTAAAAAATCATAGAATACTCATCAATAGTGACATTAAAACACATTTTAGGCTTAAAATAAGAAATGCGCATTGTGCACAAGTAGTACTCCAAATAAAGTTTAATTAATTGTTTTTATTATCAGTAAGTCTTGAGCGATATGTCATTAAATATGTTAATAGATTTGAACTATACTTAGAAATAAATGTATTTTAAATATATTACTTTTTTTACTAGGGTCCACAATTGATGATTTCACCCATTCAATTTGGCTTCATTACATGATAATGTATTTTTCTTTACAACACGGTAAAATTAAAACCATAAAATATATAACTGTTACTTGAAATAATATAAATGTTAACTGAAGTAAAATAAAATATAAAAATATTTGATTATTTTACATAATATTAATATTATTTTATTTCAGCTAGTTTCCAAGGCAATGTTTCTTATTTTTATTTAGTTTAACTTGATGTACTAAAACAACTAAAACTAAAATTAACAGATGTATTTAAAAACAACAAAAACTAATAAAAGTGACAAAAACACACAAACTAAAATGACAAAAAATGTAACTACAATTACCATAAAAGCAAAAACTATCAAAAATAAAATCTAATTCAACAAAAACTGTATTAGTATAGATACTGACAATAACACTGCTTCACAAATGAATGCAACTTTTATGAACTTTGATTTCTAAATACAATCAACAGAAGTAAAACCTAAACGTAAGTTATAAACAAACCATGGTCGCATGATTTTAATGTCACCACCATAACCTTCTGACAACTCTTTCAGTCTTTATTTAAAAACATTTTCCCTGAAAGTTTGAGTTAGAAAAGCTTGCAAGAGCACAACTGTAAAGGCAATAAGACTACCCTAGTGAAAAATGAATGTACTTAAATGTATTTGAAATACATTTATTTCATGCTAAGTATACTACAAATACATTCTCGTATTTATGTACTTAATAAAATACCCTGCAGTTGTACTTTTATTATACTAAACTGGTATACTTAAAGTCTGCTAAACTGGAACAACTAATTTTGTGCTTAATGCACTTTAATTGTGCAGAAGTATAGTGTTGAAGTACAATTAAAGATATACTCAGTATATCTGATTGTGCTAAAGTGGAACTGTTGCAAGTACACTTCAGGTACACTTTAAATATCTTGCATTTAAAGACCGATATTATTCAAAGATCATACAATCTTCATCAAAAGTGACATTAAAACACATTTTAGACTTAATATTAAGAAATGTGCATTGTGCACAAGTAGTACTCCAAATAAAGTTTAATTATAATTTTTATATCAGTAAGTCTCGAGTTATCTGTCAGTAAATATGTTAATAGATTTGAACTATACTTAGTATGAAATAAATGTATTTTAAATATATTACGTTTTTACTAGGGTATATAAGTGGACTAGTTAGTAGATGAGTTTACCTGTTTCGTGTGATGATGTTTAACGTCACCGGCAACCTCTGTAGCCTCATTTAGCCACTTGTTAGTGGTTGCCTTTAAAAGGCAAGTAAAAGCTTTAAAGGGGTCATATGATGCTTTTTTAAAGATCATTATTTTGTGTATTTGGTGTAAGAGTGGGGTATTACTGGTGTTTTTATGCTGTATAGTATAAAACGTGAAAAGTTTTTTTAGCTGAAACATAACCACAGACCAGGCATTTAACCAAAAACCAATAATCTTCAGAACAATGGAGTCGGAGGCGCTTGGTCTACAAAAATACGTCATCCCTGCATCAATCTTTTTAAGCTGGTTATTTAATTTAGGAAGCAACATGTATCATATCAAATAAAAGTCTATATGAAAACATGTGGCAGTACAGCCTCGCTTTACCAGTTACAGGCTCGAGTGCCACTGTTGACCCTGCCAGAGAGCAATGCTGTAATCCCAGCCACTTCCCTTCTTCTTGGAGCACATATGTAAATGCCATCAAGAGGATTAGCTCCTCGCTGCTTAAGGATAATGAGACGTTCTGCTGTTCTCAGTGGCTTCTCTCTATGGCCTGGCAGACAGTCAGCCGCTCTGACGTTTACACCAGCACTGCAGTATCTGTCTGTTGCTCAGATTGGCTAA